ATGGCATCCGACGACGTTCCAGATGAGCACGACGGAATCCATGCCAGCTTCAGTTTCTCAGTAGCTGAGTGGGCACACTTTACACTTTTTGGGGGGTGCTATCATCTCCTTCAGAAGTGAACGTGTGCACTTTTCTGGGGCTTCTGAACTCAGCAACTAAGGTTTTAAGTCAAGGAACTCGGAGAAGGACGACACTGCGGAAAGCCAAAGGCTTGACCCAGAGCCTCCCCAAAGCAACATGGCCGCTGTTGTAGGCGTTGTTTCAGGACTGCAGCTCTTCAATCCCGACTTGCTCCGTGCCGTTCCCGCCTGGGTGGCACTGAGACACTTGAGGAGAGTGTGCCTGCGGCCTGGAGCTCAAATCGCCCCTGCGGACTTGTTTGCGCTCAGCCACGAGGTGAAATCCATCAGCGAGTTCTGGTCACACAGCTGGCGCGCGCGGCTCTCGGTGAAGTTCTACTTGCTGCTCCTGCTCCTTCGTTTGGAATGAGGGAATCAGGGCTCCATAGCTACCCTTTGGTCAGCAGGGAATGAAGGCATCAGGGCCCTATATCTACCCTTTAAGGGATGACCTCATTCCCCGATTCCCTACTAGGGTTTAGGGTTTAAGGTTTAGGGTTTAGGGTTCGAACCAACAGTAAAGGCTCAAGAATGGCTGCGCGGCAGTTTGTCTGGGCACCATGGCCTCCATTCTCGTGGCCTTCTTGTCCTACGAAGACCTCCTCCCCGGGTGGTACAAAGCGGACAGAATCGAAGTAGGTAGACCCTTGGGACTCTTTCCCTTACCTGAGTTTAAGAGGATCAGACTCAGGAACATCTTTCTAAAGTGTTAACCCTCAACCCTAAACCCCGGAAACCCTAAACCCTAAACCCTAAACCCTAAACCCTAAACCCTAAACCCTAAACCCTAAACCCTAAACCCTAAACCCTAAACCCTAAACCCTAAACCCTAAACCCTAAACCCTAAAGCCAAACCCGAAATCCTAAACCCTAAACCCCAAACCCTAAGCCCTAAGCCCCAAACCCTTCACCCTAAACCCCAAACCCTAAACCCGAAACCCTAAAGGGCTCTCCGAGGATTTGACGGGAAAGTGAAGGCCAGCCCCCTGGTGATCCTGAGCGGCTTGATTGCCTCTTCTCTGACGCTCTTCCTCTGGCGATCGGGAGATCGCGTGTCTTACTGTTGGTTAGCAGGGTTTAATTCGGGTGTGGGGTTTAGGGTTTAGGGTTTAGGGTTTAGGGTTTAGGGTTTAGGGTTTAGGGTTTAGGGTTTAGGGTTTAGGGTTTAGGGGTTTAGGGTTTAGGGCCTGATTCCCTCATTCCCTGCTGACCAACAGTAAGGTGTTCCTGGACCAGCTATGCATTCACCAAGGTGACTCAAAACTGAAGGCGCAGGCCCTGGTGCCTCGGACCCGGAGTGGGACCCAGAGATTTTCGATTTGGTTGTTGCTTCTGAGCCCCTCAGCCCGTGTACCCAAAAGCATACGCGGTTTCTTCCTCGGATGCTCGTGGGCCTAGCCCTAAACCCTAAACCCTAAACCCTAAACCCTAAACCCTGAACCCTGAACCCTGAACCCTGAACCCTGAACCCTAAACCCTAACCCCTGAACACTACACCCTAAACCCTAAACCCTAGGTACAGATTGGCGCCTTCCTGAAGAACTCCAGGAAGCTCGTGGTCGTCTGGGACCCGACCTACCTCTCCAGGCCGGGCGAATGCCTTCCGTGCCTGTGTTCACCACCCCGAGCGTTCCCCAAACCCCAAACCCCAAACCCCAAACCCCAAACCCCAAACCCCAAACCCCAAACCCCAAACCCCAAACCCCAAACCCCAAACCCCAAACCGTAAACCGTGAACCGTAAACCCCAAACCGTAAACCTAAACCCCAAACCCTAAACCCGAATTCACGAGCCTACACCTCTCGATGCATCCTCTGCGTGCTCTGCGACGGGGCAGCAAAAGCGCCCCCATAACCTTTTGGCAGATGGTGGTGTGGGAGACTCCACAGGAGGATGATGCTGAATCGAAAGCGGCGTTTGTGCTGGAAGAAACTGCAGGAAGGTTAGACTGCAGAGACCAAGAGTCGACAGAACTATTCACTGCTGGCTGAGTCAGCACCCTCCCAGCTCCGGGAAAAAACAGGGTTTAGGGTTTAGGGTTTAGGACTCCACGCCCAGCCACCCGCACGGGCCGAGAGCCCAAGCTAATTATCATGGTCGAAGAGGAAGACAAAAAAGCACAAGTTCAGATAGCCATGTGGATGTCTGGCAAAACATGTCGCGCAGCAGACCACTGACTCATGCAAGCCCTAAACCCTAAACCCTCAACCCTCAACCGTAAACCCTAAACCCTAAACCTTGAACCCTAAACCCTAAACCCTAAACCCTAAACCCTAAACAACAACAGCCAGGGCGTGGTGCGTCTTTGAGCTGGCGGCCTTCCTCCATAGCCACGAAGACGAGAAGCCGGCGCGGGTTGTGGTCAAGCCCATTGTGTTCCTTGGGGACGAAATGAACCCCAAAAAGTTGGGGTTTAGTGTTGAAACGTAGTGCCTGTACATGTTTAGCTGTTCGTATCCTTGTTGTTCTCCCTGTTGCTTGTAGGCCCAAGAAGGTCATGAGCACATGTTTAAAGCACTCTCTCACAGTGTAGCAGTGCCGTAGCCCAACAGTAGTGCGTAGCAAAGACTTCATACCAAGATTGCTCTTTCTTGCTTGTGTCAAAAGAAACTCCGCATTTGTGAGAGCCATGTCGGGTGGGGGGAAAGAAAACAGGGAGCTTGCAACTCCACTGTTTTCCACCTCTCACCAGCATTGAGGGTTTAGGGTTTAGGGTTTAGGGTTTAGGGTTTAGGGTCATATACCCCATACTACTATACTATACTTCCTATTCAGCTATATGAACCACAAACCTTACCCGAAAATTGGGGTCATATACCCTATACCACCATTATCCCTATTCAGCTACATGAACCATAAACCCTTTTAGGGTTCATATCGTTCCCAAGGTTTGCACCAGCTGCGTTCGTGATTTTGATTGGGGGAGTGCTGCTCATGACCTTCGAGATCTGCCTCCCAAATACAAATGACATCTTTATGCTGATGGGGGCGCTGTACCTCATTGCCTGGGGCTTGCTGGTTGCTCACTTGCTTGAGGATTTCTGGCGCCACGTCGATGTTGCTGAGGAGCAGTTTCGCACCTTCAGCTGGCAAAGTGTCACGTGCGATTGTTGCTCCATGAACCACCTCGGACCAGATGGAGAGGTCATTGTGTGCGACAAAGCGACTTAGGGATACCTGAGAACATTTGTATTTTTGGGGTACTATACTTCCTAATTAACAAGCAGCCAGGATTCTAGTTTTTTGCTAGGGTTTCCAAATCACCATAGGAGATATTGACGCGCTGCCTCATCGAGTGGTTTGGGTCCCAGGAGGCCTTTGAAAGCCGCGTCCGGACCAGCGTGCGCGACAGCTTCTTGGGCCCGATCACCCGTGGGTTTCCATTGGGTTACTCGTGGCAACTTGGGGCCAACTCGTATCTCGCTTGGGGCATGGCCAATCTTTTCGCGAGCAGGGCCCATGCAGGGGCAGGCGAGTTTACCGTGGTGGTTCCGATCTATTGTGTGGTGTGGTGGTTGTGGTTGGCGCCAATTCAATACTTCACGCTGGGGCAAATGGCACGATGGATACATAAGAAACACGTGGGGAAGCTTAGCCGTCCAGCGGCTTGCGCCGTGACGTTCACGCGGTACTTTGGCTATGCAATGAATTGCGGTCTACCACACCTTTACCAGCGTTTGCTGCAGATGGTCCTCGACCCCATTATTGCAGCCTTGGTATTTGCAGTTACGACCTTCTGCTGGGCATTGGTGGCATATCACATGTGGGCGAAGCCCTCGAAATGAAGGCGCTTGGAAGCCTTTTTTTGTTCACGCCCGGACCAAAACCCACGAGCAAGGTGTGGCACGGTCCAGTTCTGCAGTGTTTGCAGTAGTAGTAGTAGTAGTAGTAGTAGTAGTAGTAGTAGTAGTAGTAGTAGTAGTAGTAGTAGTAGTAGTAGGAGGAGGAGGAGGAGGAGGAGGAGGAGGAGGAGTTAGGATGGAGGAGGACATACTTAGTAGCAGATATCCCCTAAATATCAGGGGCTCCCTTATAAGGAACCCCAAAAAGGGGACCATATGCCCAAGAAACCTTAAACTCTAAACCCTAAACCCTAAAGTATCCCGAAGTGCTGGCGGCCCAACTTCCAAACTTCCCTTGTGCCTGAGAGGCCTGCAGCCTTGTCAGGTTTAGGGTTTAGGGTTTAGGGTTCAGGGTTTAGAGTTTAAGGTTCAGTGTTTAGGGTCTAGGGTTTAGGGTTTAGGGTTGGATCGAGTCTCGGGCGCTTTTTCTGCACCAATGGGTGCCCAAAGTACCGGCCTGTGAGGCCATGGAGATCAATATCCAGATGAGGGTTTCCATAAATAGGGTTTAGGGTTTAGGGTTTAGGGTTTAGAGTTTAGGGTTTAGGGTTTAGGGTTTAGGGCAAGATGAGGGTTTCGGAAAATAGGGTACCATTTGTTTGGGGGAGGGGGGGGGGGGGGGAAGTCCTATAAATAAGGATTAGAGTATTTTGGGGTATTCGGGGTGCGCCTATTTTTTGGGGAAATGCCCTGCTGGTTGCAACTTTTCTTGCGCAACACCCTCAGCAAGACTGCTTGAGCACGCTGTGAGTCCCAAAAAGGCCCATGTACTCGCGGATGTAGGCACTCGGATGGCGCGGAAAATGCGGCAAAGGCCGCCCCAAACTCTGCTAAACCCTAAACCCTGCTAAACCCTAAACCCTAAACCCTAGACCCTAAACTCTCAACTCTCAACCCGGTTCAGGGCCAACCTCCCCACCTCTCCAACCAGGCTTGTGCTCAGACGCTTCCACCCAGGGTAGGCCTCTTCTCCTTTTTTATAGGGTGTAGGGTTTAGGGTTTAGGGTTTAGGGCTTAGGTTTTAGGTTTAGGGCTTAGGGTTTAGGGTTGAGGGTTTAAGGCTACCGAAAACCCTGAACTCCTGAACCACTCAAGCCCGAAAGCTTTTTTGGCCACCTAGATCTTCTAATGTCTCGAAATTGGAGGGCGATCTTTCACAAGTCAGGTGCAGCTGTACCGCGACTCGTGGCTCCTAAACCCTAAACCCTAAACCCTAAACCCTAAACCCTAAACCCCAAACCCTAAACTCTAACCCTAAACCCGAAACCCCAAACCCCAAACCCCAAACCCTAAACCCTAAACCCAGAGCGCTCGCGCCGCTTCAGGCGTTCGTCTGGGGTTCAGGGTTCAGGGTTTAGGGTTTAGGGTTTAGGGTTTAGGGTTTAGGGTTTAGAGTTTAGGGTTTTAGGGTTTTTAGGTGTTGGGGTATAAGGGCGCCCCTATAAGGGCAGTTCTGGAAAGCCTTGTTTTGTAGGATCCTTATGTTCAGGAGTCCACAGGGGGAACCCAAAAAACCGTGCAGGGTTTCGGGCTTTTTGGGCTCCCTTTTCCGGAATCGAGGCCTTTGCGATGCTCTGGCACTGGTCTGTTTGGCCAAACTCTATGGTTTTAGTTGTTGCTTTTTCTGTGCTTGTGATTCGATCTCACGTGCATCTCCCTGGTTTCTCATAGAGGTTCTTCACATGTGTGGGCTGGATCTGTTCTACACCTATATTAGGGTCCCTGTGGAGTTCCCTTCTTAAATGGGGTGCCGCCTCAGAATGGGTACCCAAAAAGTGACCCTCATTTAGGAAGCTACCCAAGTGTCAGTTAGCCAGAGAAGCGCATCGGAATCAGGTTTAGGGTTTAGGGTTTAGGGTTTAGGGTTTAGGGTTTAGGGTTTAGGGTTGAGGGTTGAGGGTTGAGGGTTTAGGGTTTAGGGTTGGGGGCCCTTTAGGTGGAGAGTGGAGCCGTAGGGTCGGACTCCTTAGCATCAAGCGCCGTGCCCCTTCCCTCATGGCATCTGACGACGCTAGCCTTAGGGTTTAGGGTGTAGGGCTGGCTGAAAAGTATAGATCACGGACGGTCTTGCACGCCAATGTGTACTGAGAAGGGGCAGCCACCAGAGGGGGTGTTGAGGGTTTTAGGCGTGAGTGCTGTGAGAGCTCTGAACCCTACAAGTGTCCGTTCGCCAGGGAAGCACATCGCCCCTAAGCCCTAAGCCCTAAGCCCTAAGCCCGAAGCCCTAAGCCCTAAACCCTAAACCCTAAACAATAAACCTGAAACCCTAAACCCTAAACCCTAAACCAATCGGAGTAAAGCCATTTAGGTCCACAGTTGAACCGTAGGGTCTGTCTCCTTGCAGACTTCCTTGGGCATCAAGTCCCGTCCCTGATGGCATCCGACGACGTTCCAGATGAGCACGACGGAATCCATGCCAGCTTCAGTTTCTCAGTAGCTGAGTGGGCACACTTTACACTTCTTGGGGGTACTATCATCTCCTTCAGAAGTGAACATGTACACTTTTTTGTTCTCTTCACCCTTGTAATCATATGTTCCCCGGTGATCAAGGAGTTAAGATGGATAGGGTCCCGAGGGTGGGTTCCTTGTCAAGAGAGTTCCTGTCACGTAGAAAGACTCATGATGGTACGGTTTCTAAGTGAAGATGGTACGGCTGTCAGGATGGGATAGTTCTTGTACTAGGGTGTGAACGGTTAGACCAAGATATGAGAGTTAGGGTCTCAAGGGCGGATTCATGGGCAAGACTGACAGGTGGGATGGATTCCAGAGAGTTAGGGTGTTCATGTGATAGAACTACTGTCACGAAGTACTAGATGGGTGAATAAGCGTACGGGCGGTGATAATATTATAATTACAAAGAACCCGTGATGCGTGAATTATATTACAAGTATGCGCAAATAGTATTAATAAAGGGCCCCATTAACCGTACGTGCTACCTCTATGACATTAAGGCTTTCCAAGGAGCGGTCACATGAACCACCTATCTTCTCCGGACGGTAAGAACTCAGCAACTAAGGTTTTAAGTCAAGCAACTCGGAGAAGGACGACACTGCGGGAAGCCCTAGGCTTGATCCAGAACCTCTCCAAAGCAACATGGCCGCTGTTGTAGGCGTTGTTTCAGGACTGCAGCTCTTCAGTCCCGACTTGCTCCGTGCCGTTCCAGCCTGGGTGGCACTGAGACACTTGAGGAGATTGTGCCTGCGGCCTGGAGCTGAAATCGCCCCTGCGGACTTGTTTGCGCTCAGCCACGAGGTGAAATCCATCAGCGAGTTCTGGTCGCACAGCTGGCGCGGGCGACTCTCCGCGAAGTTGTGCTTGCTGCTCATGCTCAAGAATCTTAGTGGTACTTGGAAATAGTTTCTGTCTTTTGGGTACCATAATTCCTAAGAAACAGCAAGAATAGAAAAAATTGCTGGGCCTTCAAGTTCAGCATAGGAATGGCGGCGCGGCTGTCTGCCTGGGCACCGTGGCCGCCCTTTTCGTGGCCGTCTTGTCCTACCAGGACCTCCCTGAACTTGGCCCTAGACCCTAGACCCTAGACCCTAAACCCTGAACCCTAAACCCTAAACCCTAAACACTAGGACCTCCTCCCCGGCTGGTACAAAGCGGCCCGCATCGAAGGACGATTCTAAGTCGGGGATATTTTCTATTTTCTCTGATGTTGGGTTCAGGGTTTAGGGCTTAGGGTTTAGGGTTTGGGGCTTAGGGTTTAGGGTTTATATCAGATTCAGATTCAGGGTAGGCCCTTATAAGGGACATTTTTGTATAACTTCCTGGATAAGAGTATTCATACTCACGGGCCATCTTTTTCAGAGGGCGTTTACAAGGCCAGCCTAGGATTTGACGGGGAAGTCAAGACCAGCCCCTGGGCGATCCTTAGCGGCTTGATCGTCGCTTCGCTGACGCTCCTTCTCTGGCGATCTAGAGTTCTGGTGTTCCTGGACCAGATTTGCATTCACCAGGGCGATGCAGGCCTGAAGGCCAAGGCCATTGTGCCTCGGACCCAGGCCCCTTTTGCTCCCACCGGACAAGTGGGGTTGTTAGATTTAAGGACACAGCGGTGACGCACGTCATGTGACGCGACTCTCAGGACGGAAGGCAGTACAGCACTGAGGACCCCAGCCGGCGGGGAGTACGAGAATCAGGACACTAAGCAGGGAGGCTCAGCGGGCAACTGTGCCAGAATGTGGCCAGATGAAGTAAGCAGGCCAAGGAGGCTCAGGCGGGCAACTGTGCCGCAATGGAATGTGGCCAAGCACAATGGCAGGCCAGAATGGCTCAGGCGGGCATCTGTACCAGCATGTGGCCACACGCAATAAGCAGGCCAGGCAGCCTCAGGCTGGCAACTGTACCGGAATCTGGCCACGCGCAATAGCAGGCCAGGGAGGCTCAGGCGGGCATCTGTACCGGAATGTGGCCACATGCAATGAGCAGGCCAGGGAGATTCAGGCGGGCAACTGTACCGAAATGTTAGGCCATGGAGGCCAAGGCAGAGGCTTTGACGGGCAACTGTACCGACATGTTGCCTTCTGAAGCAGGCCAGGGAACTGTTGCCGTAAAGCAGGCTAGGCTCAGGCGGGCAACTGTACCGAAATGATGCCGAGGAACCGTGCCGAAATGTTGCCACACTAACTGTACCGGAATTTTAGGCCAGGGAGGCTCAGGCGGGCAAGCCAGCCGAAATGCTGTCAAATTTAGCAGGGCCAGGGAGGCGCAGGCGGGCAACTGCCTGAAAAAGCGCGCTAGGCGTTAAGGCAACATTCTGGTACAGTTGCTTGGTCTGCGTATTGGGCAACTGGTACCTGAGCCTCAAGGGGCAGGGCAGAGAAGCTCATGATAAGGTGGTCAACTGTGCCGAAACGTTGCCTGAATAGGCAAGTCAGGGAGGGTACCGAAATGTAAATCCTTGCAATTGGGTTTTAGGGACAGGGTGGGGAGGTTCG